TGAGGCAAAAAAGTTGAACATCTTAGCCTTCTCATCTGTTCTTACTAGCTCACCATTGTTGCTCATCAGCAGGGATATGCTTTCTTTAACATTCCTTTTCTAGTTTACAGACCTGTAGAAGTCCTTCTTGTTTTTCCTTACAACCCTTGCCAAGTTCAGCTCTAGCTGCACCTTGGCCTTTCTGACCTCTTCCCCATACAACCAGGCAACATCCCTACACTCTTCCCAGGATACCTATCCCCACTTTCATCTTGCCTTTTAGTTTGACCAGCAGGTCTCAACTCAGCCATACTGGTCTCTTACGTCCCTTGCCCGATTTCTTACACTGGAGATTGAGATCTCTTGTGCTCTGTGGAAAGCACCCTTAAACATCAGCAAGCTCTGTTCTGCTCCCTTGTCCATGAAGGCCATTTCCCACAGCATCCTATTACTAACTCCTTGAAGAGCTGGAAGTTTGCTTTCCTAAAATTTAGAGTCCTGACTATGTTTCTCATCTGCCTCATACCCCTTAGGACAGTGAACTGCACTAGTGCATGATCACTGCGGCCCAGGCTGCCTTCAGCTTTGACATCCCTGATGAGTTCGTTTATGAACATCAAGTCTAATAACATCCCCTCAGGTAGGGCTGTCAATTTCTTGTCTTAGGAAGTTGTCATCGAGGCACTTCCAGGAGTCTCCTGGATTGCCTACAGCTTACCATGCTACTTTTCCAACAGAAAAGTTGGGGTGGTTGAAATCCCCCAGCAGAATTTTCTTCATCTAAGAAAATCACAAAAAGTTATTTAACCCTGCAATCAGCAGTGTAAGTTTTCAATTCTCTAGATTAAAATTTCCTCATTTTCTACTAACAATTTCTTTTTGGACTTCAAACATAAAGCAAGCCAAATTAATTGGATTGGCAAAATTAATTTTTTGAGGGAGGAAAAAACAATTATGATGAAAGAGTTTAATATTTTCTCCAACAGTCCAGAACTACTATGCTTGATAGATTAATTGTTGTTTATGTTATTATATTTACATTTTCTGTTTATTAACTTGGAATAACTTTTCTCAAACACACCATGAGTTGTTTCTGCCAGCAGAGGCTAATTTACCTAAGGAATATTGAATTGTTTTCCTAGAAATTGTTGAAACGTTTTCTTTGTTTTACCCATACCTGATTTCAGCAAGTATCTAAGTTATATGGAGGTTGTTGAAAATAAATTGAAGAAATTATAGAAGCTGAAAGTTTGCTAAAAGTCACTAAAAAATCTTAAATGGAATCTCCTGTCATTGCACCAAAGTATCAAATGATAATCCCAATTATGCCAGAAAGATAATTTTAAGGTTTTAAAATAATAATTTTACAAAACAGCAGAGATCTCTGTGTGCACATGTTTAAGCATTCATGCATACACTTTTCTCAAGCTTTCATCCCCTGCCTACAGATTTATTTTTTTTAATTGGGGTAGGATTTGGTTTTTGTGTTTGTTGTTTGTTTTTTTTTTCACTAAGAAGTATCAGGACAAACAAAGAAAAGTGCCCTTGGAGCAAACAAAGGTATGCTAAAATTATTATGATTTATGAGCTTGACTCAAAAACTTGTATTATATTTTAAAAAATATTAAGCTACATTGGTTGGGAATAAGTGCCTAAATTAAACCATTTTTATTTGAATCTCCTTACAGTACAGGGAGACATGGATAGATCCAGAAACAGAAGTTATCAGAGAGATAAGCCAGGAATACAACTTAAAAGTGGCATTCTGTAAGAATTTGAATGACAACAAACTATAGACCTAGACCAACGTATATACAAGGAGACTAGCTAGAGTCTATATAGGAGTTTGCATAACTTAGCAATATTTTTACTTTCTGTAAGATGAAAAGTACATATTTCTTTCCAAGAATCCTGGAAAGAAAAAATCCTGTTTTCATAGAATCCAATTTTTTTAAGAACCAGTTTCAAAACCTAAATACAATGATAAAACTTCAACATTAAGATGTTTTTCTGAGATAACTAGGAATAAATAGAGGAAATGATGTTTCAGATTTGTAAATGGCAATTCCATGGGGAAAAAACACACTGCTTAGAAAAAAAAAACAAACAATAAACAAACTTATCAACAACTTTTACTATAACTGCCAGATAGAAAATACACATAAAACATCTTCATCTTCAGTATAAGAATGTGATTTGAAGAAAAATATACGAGATCAGTTTCCCCATTGTATTTTTTTAAGATTAATCTCAATTTTCCTCATCAATGCAGTTTTCTTCTAAAAAATACTTACCTAGGAAAAGATCAATTGTAAGTGAATGCATAGATATGAATATTCATTTATTATGATTCTTTTTCTAATATGACCTACATATTAGAATACAGCAGGAGAATAAAGATAGTACAGTTTCATCTAGTCTGTAAATTTGTAATTGCATTTTATTTTTTGCGTTTCAGTGACCTCTAGTGTTTTGATTAAAAACAAATTGCTGTTCACTCATAACCTAAGAACTTATTTTTTTTAAAAGGGAAAACCATTAGTTCTTAAAAAAACATTAAAGTCTTTTGGCATACAGTATGTGAAAGCTTACTTTAGCCAGCAAAGCGAGAATGAGGCTTCTTTTTTTTAAATCAAGTTTTTCTGCTTCTCCTGGAATCAATGTTTCTGTTTTAAAAAATGTTTAAACAACAACTAAAAAGTAAACTGTGTAGATTTAACCTCAAAGCCAAAAGAGTATCATTAAATAAATGCATAACTTAGTAAAAGACAGTAGTGAGTAGAAATGACAAGCCAGATTGTAATGTTGTAAGAGCCAGCAGGTCTGTCCTGCAAAGGTCTATTAGTATTTGTGGTTCTTTAAAAGCACAAAAGAAATCACAAATAACTGGATGAGTGCCTAATCAAGTAACTAAGAATTGCAAAGGGGCTGTGACAGTGATAAAAATTGGAAAGAGAACTTTGTGTATATAGCATGGTACACATAGGGGGCAAAAATCGCAGAATCACATCTTCACAAGTTCTGAACTGACTTTTCATACCTGGGAACAAAACACTGGGATACAGTTTTACAGGGAGATCACTTTTGACTACCAGGGGGCAAAAAAGCAACGAGTATGAGAAGTTACTAAGACTGGAGGAGGAATCAAAATGAAGAAACAACCACCAATAGATAAATAACTTGTATCTGTAGTCTGTAATACCTGGACCATCGTCATTTTAGTTTATGTTGTTCTGACTAGGTACAGCTTGGTTTTCACATTTTCTAAATCACAGCAGTCACTAAGAAACTTCAGCTGGACCATTAGTTGGCTCATATAAGGAGATAAATTATAGTATTATATTTTAATACAGTATATAATGCTAGCTTATAAGTTTGTTTTTTTGTGTTTGTTTTTTGGTGGTTTTTTTTAGTGTCATACAACATACAATAGTTGATAGTCCACAAGAACGTTCAATAAAACCATGTGTTCATTTAATTCCTTTTTTGGGGAGCAGAAGGGAATACAACTCAAGGTCAGAAATTCCTAAATTACTCCTTCCTAATTTTTCTATAAATGAGCTATTAAGTTCTGTGTACCAATTACAGTTATCTGATTTTAGATTACATATGTGGTTTTTTTTTCATTCTAATTTTGTGTCAGCATTCTAAAATATTTTTTAAATTTAAGTGGAGAAAAAACTTGGGGTGAATGTGGTTGCAGCAAGCACAGAAAATGCCTTTTGAAAAGCAAAACAGCTCAGATTTGGTAATTATAAAAATACTTATTTTTGCAGTGAATTTATATAAAAAGTAATTTTAATTCACATAGGAATGGATTCAGAAACTTACAATGAAAATTTATTTTCCTTTCTAGTCCTTCAGTTTAAATGTCACTGGTCTCAATGTATATCTCAAAGTAAAACTACTTTAAACTATTGCTTTTACATACACAAAGCTGACTAGGACATGTATTTTCTATGTTGGAAATTGGGAAGCTAGGGAAATGATTGGAGAATATCTTAGTGCTAAATGCCTGAACAAACATCTAAAACTAAAAGGTATATGGACATCTCAAAATTACTTTTCAGTATTTTCACTGGAACTTTAAAGAGTTAAATATCAGAAAAAATTGCCACATGCAAGAGTGCACTTAAATTGTGATCCGGAATTCAATTGACATGCAACTGGCAATACTGGAAAGACTTTGTCCAAACTTCAGTGACTGTAACCATAAGAACTCTTTCCTGGCTTCGTAAGTTTATGAAACAAACAAACCCCCTAGGTAATAACAACAATATTTTGAGTTCAGCTTTCACTGGAGAATCTAAATGTTAAGCAACATAGCAAGATAAATCACAACTATTCTTGATGTTCATTAAGAAGAAATTAGAGGAACCTAGGACAACAAAAAATCCTTAGCTCCATGGCCAAAACCCGTCAGCTATTAACTACACATTCCGACATGCCAGACCTGCACAGTAAAGAGGTATATTTACTATGAGTGTCTAGCAGTTTTTTCTCACATTCAAACACCCAGTACATTCAAAACTTAACTTTATCTCATGAAGCAAAAATAATGTCACATTCACACTTCAATCCTATGCTAAATAGCAGATTCTTTCAAATTTACACTACTTCTGTGCATGAGTCACATGGAAAAAAATGACAGTAAGATCACTTTCTCTAATCAGTTTTTTGTATAAGTCAACTCTTGACTTCATGCAAAATGAAAAAGGGATTAAATTTTTTTTTCTTCTCCAAAGCAAATGACTTGTTGTTCATTAAATGCATTCTTCAAGAAGTGTGAGGAATCTCAAACTAGTTCCATCTCAATTAATTTTGGAAAAATGGATTTCTAAGAAACAATTGTACTGTTTTAATGCTAATTATAATAATTACATTTCAGGATAACCAAATATGTCATCACTTTCCTCTTGTGGCAAGCACAAAAAGTATGGTAGTGACTTGTTACTACATAAATAATACAAGCTTTAACAAAACTCCCTCAAAAAAAAGAAAAAAAGAATAATGAAAGTTACCTCAGAAACAGGTACATTTTCTTCAAGTTCAGATGTGTGTAATGCCAGTAAACCAATCACTCGAGCAACTCTGGCACGTCTGCATAGCAAATAAATTTCGAATAGTTGCAAAATATCCAGTACTTATTTCCAAAATATCACAAAACCAAGGATGATTTGTTTATTTTTTTAAAAGATGCTAAGGGCAGACCAAAGTGCTATTTACAGCTCAGATTTTCTTCTTAGTTCTATTTTATTTGTACCATCATGGTATTTCAGTACTTCACCTCAATTTAGCAATAAATTAACCCATAAAGACATTTATTTCTTTCAGCACTGTTAAAGATTTTGAATTTTTTATAGTATTAATAATCAGTCATGCTCATGTTCAGTTTCCTTACTACAGAGAAAATCCCTACAGATAATTTTAAACTTCTCACTATAGCTGACAAAACGGAAATTAAATCTGTTTCAAGAAATCAGTGTTAAGAGTTTAACTTCTGGAATAAAATCAACATTTTAAAAACAAACAGCAGAGGGCACTATCACCATGAAACATCTGACCGACCTTAAAAAAAAAGCTAGCCATATCGTTATTCCACTACTATTACGGTAGAAGTTGGTTCATGTAGTGATTTTAAGTAACACTATTTGATACATTAAATTATATGACTTCTAAATATAATTTTACAGACTTTTTATAATCTTTGGTCCTCTGAAATAGCAATATATTATTTCAACGCAGGAAAATGCTAGTCAGATACCATAGCAGTCTGACTGGCTAAAAAATTCCTCAAAGATCCTGCTAAATACTATTTTTTTTTTTAATTCAGTGGTAGCTTCTTATGTGAAAAATTAATGTAAGATAATTTTTACTTACATATCCCAGCTGGCAGCTGCACGCAGCTGTTGTATCAATATAGGAAACTATAGTTTAGAGAAGATAAATATCATTAGTGATTTTCAGTGATCTCATATGTCCCAATAATAAACAATAAAAATATGAGTCATTGTTTTAAAATGTAATTTGATAACATTTGCAAAAATTATCATAGACAAATACTGTCCAAGTATAGATATTGTGCAAAAGTTGATTAGAAAAAAAAAAAAGACTGAGAGTAAAAATACAATTTCTTCCTATATTCTTGCCTTAAACTGCTAAACATACATCACTATGGTAAAAAAAAACAACACAGCAACATTTCTTTCATTATGAATAACACTAAGAGGAAAATAACTATTAGCTTTTCATCTATAAACACAGAGATCATCATATAGTATTACCCAACGTACTTCATATAATGTGTTTTGTGTGAAAGGACAAAGAGTCAACACAACAATCATCTCTTAAAATACAGCTAAAAGCGGCTGATTTTTCCTAAAATGACAAGTATGATCTCTTCAAATCTTTATTATTTACCAGCTGAGAGCCAATTAGCCTGCTTGCAACTTCTTTCTGGACAACCACAGTACACAGATAGTACAATAAGTTCAGTTTAGACCGTGCTGCTCCTGTATTCTTCTCAGTGGAACCAAGCAGTGAACATACTCGTTGCAAGTAGTCATTCCAGTCCATGTCTTTCATAGATGATAACTTCTCAGCTAACCATAAGAAGCAAACAAGTAGTTAAAAAAGAGATATTTGGCATTGCTTTAACACTCTAGAAAGTAACATCAACAGAAATAAGCTCCAAAGTTTTAATCTAATCACAATTTCAGTACTTTAAATAATAAACATATTTTAATTAATGTATGGAGATTAGAGAAATCTAAAAAGACACAAGAAGATAAACAAAGCAAAAAAAATGTAGCAATAAAAGCTATAAAACATTTTTCAAAAGTGCAACCCTGCTACATCCTTGGACTTCATTTAAGTAAACATTTGTTGCCATTACTTTTAGGAAAGGTAGTGGCTGTTACCCTTAATCATTACCAACTCTAAATAAAAAATTATTGTTTCACTAAAGTAAATTTGGAAGTCAGCAAATTCTCCTCAGAACCAATAAGATGAAAATGTGTAGAGTTACTCATATAGGTAGGTATTCATCCTGTTCAGCTTTAGCAGTATCAGAGCACAGATGACTTCAAGAGAAACAGAAAGAAGTCAAGTCAGTACAATGATTAACACAAATCCTGTGGTTCAATTCATTGACCATTGTACATGAATAAAGATTTTTCAAAGACTTCGTTATTGGTCTCAATAGATAACTTCAGGCTGGCAGCCACACATTTCCTCAGTTTTGGTTAGTTACTTATTAATAACTTATCAGCCATCTTGATTGTTCCCGTACACTATATGTAAGAGTATGTCTTCTGTCTTTTACTCCAATTTTACACATAAGTAACAACACTTACTAATGAAGGCAATTACAATTTACATTAGTAAAAGTGAAAAAAGGTTCAGATTTCAGGGATTTATGCTAATTTTTCCATACTGCCTCTAATCTTTTTTGACAAGCAGTATCAAATTCAGTATCTTCAAAACCAATCAAAGTTGTCCAGAAAAAAGCTACAGCCCTGCAAGTGTTGCAACCACAAAAAAAAAATATGTCAGAAAACAGTTAAACATATCAGAACATCAGTGTGAGAAAACAGCTACTTAATTTCACTATGAAGTAAAATCCCACCCTCTTAGGGACTTAAATTTGATAATTTTTGCCTAGGATGCTGGCCAAATTAAAAACATTTTCTGTTTCTACAGTCATGATTAGGAGACTGGGGGATGTTTTGCTCCTTTCTAACTATAAAATTTCTTCAACAAATTAACTCTCCAAAGTACACACCTTATAGAAAGAAAAAAGGAGCTTTTATATTTAGGAAGAAGTGTTGTGTGAATTCTAGAAGGACTATATATCTGGCTGACATCCTTCTTCAAGCAAAGTAATGTGTAATAATACTTCCCTAAATACACCAGAGGAAACTTTCCAGAATAAACCAGCCTTTGGTTTTCAGAAATAACAGCAGCCTTTCTAGACATTCAGAATCATAACAAACAAAAAACAAATTTGGTCATCATTCTCATAACATTTCATGAATAAAGGTGGATTAAAGTATTACTGATAATCAACACAGTACATTTTAAGATCCTGTTTTCATTTGCTTCTCTACCATTGTCAAATTTTAATCCATTTGGCTGAATATTTCAGTTATTTCTTGGTTGTTTACAAAAAATAACACAGGGGAAAAAAAAACCACTATGTTTTTCTCACATTAAAATAGTGTTGGCTGTCCTATTTTAAAAGCTTTTGAGCATGAGCTTGTAACTGAAGAAGAGAAAGGAAGTGCATATAACCATTAGCACTTGGAATCTCTACTGAAAATTGATTTGGCTAAAAACATTACATATGCAACTTCAGTTTCAGGAAGTTATGAGTTCTCCAACTATGACAGCTCATCATCTACAAAGGGAGGGTATATGTCTTGTGATAGCAAGTTGCACCATCATATGAAGAACTTAAGTTTTACCAACTTCAGCCGATCCATACCTGAATATGTTGGTATATGTAAAGTTTTCGAGTCAAATTTAACTGGCACTTGCTTCATTATCTGGAAAAATAAACAAACACATTACAACTATTTTAAATCTATTTCTGGAAATCTCTAAGTTGTTGAATATGAAAACAGAAAGGTGCAAATACAGAATAGGTATACAAACAACTGCTCATTACTGAGGCATTTTCCATTGTTTCCTGCTATTTTTTCAAAGTAGATATTTAAAATTTAACTCTTTAATATAATTAGATTGCCAGCATTTCCATTTAAGTGTTGGATTTTTTAAATGGGAATATAAAATGAAAGGATTTTTTCAGTTTACATTTTTTTCTTGCTTGTATGCAGCAAAGTAATTACATCTGGAATTCAAAAGCTACAGAAAGGAACTATGCAGCTGAGAGCTCATTAAATGTTTTAGCAACTCATTGGTATGCAGTAAATATATATATATAAGCTAGAAAATTCTAGAATATAAAAAGCAATATTCTCACCAACTAATAATTCATAAGGTACAGGGTTTTTCCCCTGTAACATACAATTTTCTGGTATATCGTGAAATTGGATGACTGCTCAGTGACTGATCACTTGAGTGCAATTTTTCAGTAACTAAAGCATACAAAAAAACTGTGTGGTGGAATTTAGCCTTTGACAGATAAAGCCTAGGTTTAACTAGAAAGTTATTTTCTAAAAAAGGTCTTCAGTTCCACAGATCTGCATAACACAGGGAAATTTACAATATAAGTTGACATTTCAGCTTTTAGAATTCTGCCAGCATCTGGTAAATACTTTTCCAGGAGATTAAATTGCAAGATCTTCAGCTTTACCCAGTGTCAGTATCATCCTTCAGGGTGAAGATTGCCAAGTATGCAACGACTCTGATTACATGTCCCTGGAATTTAGTGGGCTATTTCGCATTATTCTGAGTCTGGCATTGCATGGCAAGGAGATTCATCTCCGTGTGCACATTAGTATCTACACTTCCCCCTAATTTTATCTTGTAGTAATAAGAGAAGCAGTGAAGGGCTAATGCTTTGTCTTAGGAGTCCTAAGACAGAATTGAGAATTTACAGAGGTGGCATTCAAATGTGTGGACCTATGAAAGTCTCCATTGGCAACAATATTCCCACCCTGAACACATTAAACCAGTATTGCTAGGTAGTTACTTTATCTAGCTTTGTAAGATTTTTAGTTGGAGAGAGCTAAGAATTAAATTGAAATGAACAAACAAATTATTATACTAACACAATACAGCAACTAAAAGCTGTAAGACATTCTTAATGAGCTAGATGCTCACTTCCAATGGAAAATGTTGCATTACCTGCACTGGCCACTTACTGGGGAAAGTTGCTAAAATTACTTTTTTTTTTTTTTTTTTTGCACAGAAATAAAAGACTAAAGGGGTGCTTGCCTATCACTCTTTCTACCAATACTACACATGATACAAGCACATTACATCGTCATGGCAGTGCAGAGCTGTGATTCATTTTTGGTCTTCCCTTTGCTGTCAAACAAAGTGTCAGTCTCTGCTCAAGAGTGTCATCACAAACTGTTATCACATTATAATCCACGGGACAGAAATTGGGTGGACATCTCTTGTAACTTCAGGTCTTCTCTTCCAGAGAAAATAAGTTCTTATTTCTTAGAAACATTTTAACATCCAAAGTTTAGTTATTCTGTAAAGTTATAAAACCTAATCCAGAAGGCCTCATAGATGGCCTTGTTTTGAGTATATGAAAACACACTTTTGTGTTCGTTTAAGTAATAGATATCAAAGAAAATTATCAAAAAACAAATCTACAAAAGCACTGAACATAGCACTTAGCAGTTTCTATTTCTTGTAAGATATTATTTAATATTAGTATTCAATCTCAATATAACTCAGTTCTTCAAATTAGCAACACAATAGCATTATAAAGGCTGCCAAAAAATGCATAAGAGCTTGCCAGATGACTGGGTGGAACTGCTCTAAAATGAGAATTGTAAAATACAGGAAAGTAGTTTCACCCTGATTAAAGATTTGTCTGCAAAAATAGCCTCACCCAGAAGTTCCTGAATCTTCTATTTTATTTTGCTATACCTTTGGATTGTCAATGACTGGTGTTATGATAAGATCAGATTCAGTGTAAATGAGCTCTTTCAATGTTGACTCCATATCCTGCTGACTTGAGCACATATTTTTAGCCTAGAACAAGGACAAAGTTTTTTTAAAGACTGTTTTGCACACAAACAGAAAGTCCGTGTATTCCCACAATATTTAATTTCAAC